AACAATCGAATTTGATTGAATCTTAAAATAATTAATTGCCTAGAATTATAAAGTTTATTAACCTTAAATAAATATTTTATTTCATAGCTTGTCAAAATTTATTACAAACCTCATCAAAAAAATTTTTTCCAGGATCTAATTCTTAATAGGAATTTTTTTGTAGTGATGTAGTCGATAAAATTATTCCAAACGTAAAGTCTATCGTTCTAACTTGTCATGAGAAAGGAATTCCAGTTATATGGACGCAGCATGGTCACATGAATGTTGAACTCGATGGAGGCACCTTGGCGCGATGGGTATTTAATTAATCATTTTTATATATAAAAAATAAATAAATGAAAATAATGACAAATATATTTTTAAGTAGAAAGATAAAGATGAAATGATAATGCGAGGAACTGAAAAGTATAAATTTTTGAAAGAATTGGATTCAATTATCATGGTAGGTTTGATTATTGAATTGAGACACGAAAATTCATTTATAATATTCATTAACGTTATGTTAACATTAATTTAGCGATCATCAACTTCAATTGGTACTCTTGACTTTGTCATCCAAAGTAAAACTCGCTATGATGCTTTCTACAAGACCGAACTTAATTCCTTTCTCACCTCCTTTGGTATAAAAACACTCATCATTTCTGGTGTTAAAACAAACTTATGCTGTGAGACAACTGCTAGAAGTGAGAACTTACGTTAATATATGGAGTGAGTCAGTAGAAATGCACCAAATCTTTTTTAGGGAAATTTTTTGAACCTTTAACAAAGATAACTTAATAAAAACTTAATCAAATTTAATACAAATGAATTCTACAAGATTATAGAATTGATTTAAAAAAATTATTTATTGTTCAAAGTTTTAAAAAAATTTACTTAGAAAAAATTTGGCGTATTTAATTGACTCACCCAAATGATGAAATGAAAATGATGCTAATAATAATTTCATAGGAGTGTTTGATAAGAATTATGATATTGTTTTTCTTGAGGATACGACTGCTGCGGATAATAAAGAGATGCATCAGGTATGAAATTTTTTACTGAAGAAAAAATTTGCTTAAAAATGCCCAAAATAATTTTTTTTTTTTTGCCTGAAAGGCAACTTTATTGAACTTAAGATATGGTTGGGGCATAGTTACCACTATTAATAATACTGTTGAGTGGCTTTCAACCTATGAAAAATAATATATTTATTCTTATATACATCTTTTGAATTATTTTATTGTAAAACCTGAAGTTTTATGTATAAATAATTGAATGAATCATGTCTCTACTTTCGAATGACATTGAATCCAGACATGAAACACCCACATTTGATGAATGATTATATGATTTTGCGGTCCTGCGGGACCATGAAATCATATGATCTTATAGCTTTAACTTTAAGCAAAAATTTATTAACTCTTAATAAAGTCAATCTCGCAAGTGAAGCCACTTCAAATTTTTAAAAAAGAAATCGTACAAAAATCGAGAAATATATCTTTTTTTCAGATTTATAACTTTTTTTATATTAAAAAATTGTAGAAAATTGGTTTTTCTTCTACTTGATCGATAAAAAGGAATTTTTTAATATCTACTTTGTATAAAAAGTACTTATAGGCACAAGAATATGAAGAAATATGTTTGTGCTAGATTTTTTAGCCAAAGAAAAGGCTATATGCAGGTTTTTTGACACTAGTACGAAGTATTCTGGTGCGATTATGTATATTTTTATTTATTCAATTTTACTATGATCACATCAAACTAATAAATTGATGCTGAGTCTCTTCATATTCATATATACTAATTCAATATAAATTACTCAATGATGGGATTCTTTTAAATAATAAAGTTTCTTATACTAAATTATAATGATATTAAATATAAAGACATTGTAATAGTGATTCTTTCTTTTTTGAATTAACCTGTAATATGTGGGCCTTGCTTGGCTTAACACACAACACCTTCACACTCAAATACATCACCTTTACACGTAAAAACATTTTATCGAATTTGGTCAAATGGTTGTTGAGATATCTTCACTCAAAGTTAAAGAAAAAATTTGCGCAGATTTTATTTTGAAATGCGTTTAAATTTTTCTCTAACTTTGAGCGAAGAAATCTCAATAATCGCTTGACTAAATTCGAAGAAAATTTTTTCATTCGGATTCTATGAATCCATAGAGTTCAAATAAAAGACATTTTATCAAATTTGATCAGATAGTTATCGAGATATCTTTGGTCAAAGTTAGAGAAAAAAATTCAGCACAGCTTTTATTTTGATGCGGTTTGATTTTTTATCTAACTTTAACTAGGATATCTTGATAACCATCTGATTAAATCCGATGAACTTTTTTTTATTCTCTGTGAATATTCAGAAACGCTTTATCGAATTTAAAAATTCAGACATCTAATATGTAACACGTGATGATTATAAAGATACGATAGAGATTGTATATATGTACTGAAATTAAACGGATTATGTTATAAAAGATTATACGAGACAGAATACAGTCAGACCTCTCTAAGTGCACGACCTTGGGACCACACTTTAATAATGTGCATATAGAGAATAATAAGAAAAAGTACATTTATAGAGGTTAAGCATATATTTGGGCCGGCACTTGAGCATGCATTTAGAGAGGGTGTGCATTTATAGAGGGTGCATTTAGAGAGGTCTGACTGTATTTAGATTTTATATATATCTGATAGAATAATTGGTTTGGCCTGTTATCTTTATAATTTTTAAATTTGATTTAGATTATTTTTTGACAAGCATCTGACTTATATTAAAAATCGAAAATATAACTTGTATTTTAAAGAGTATCTTGTTTATGATTATACTTTTATTAATAATTAATCTAAACTAGAATATTATTAATCAATATTTATTATAAGTTAAATTTTATTACATTACTTTTATACCATGCATAAAATTTTTATTATCGAATTATATTACTATCATATTTAAAAAAAATAATTGAAATTAAGTTTACAACCCAAAGTGCTATTGTAAACTTTAATTTCAAAAAAAAATTATTAAAATGTTTACAACCCAGGGTGCTATTGTAAACATTAATTTTAAAAAAAAAAATAAATACAAAAATTCGTTTACAACCCAGGGTGCTATTGTAAACAAAATTTTGTATATATTTTATAAAAATTTTTATATACAGATAAAAGAAAAAAAAATAATTATATGCATTTTTTCCTACTATTAAACAAAAATGCGATTAATAAATATTAAAAATTAATATAAAAATTAATATTTTTTTTACCACCTATAGTACTGTAATTGAGTTTTTTGCAAAACTTGATATTCTTGAATTGTTAGCCAAGGTGGTTTGGTAGCTTCTTTGGCTAGACAATCTTTAACCATATGTTTATCAGTTTCCCAACACCGAAAACAGTAACTATGATAATGTTGTAGAATTTGTTTACAGTTTATAGCCCAGTGACCTTTAGTGCAACAGAAAGAGCAAGTTTTAAACAAATTTTTATGATTTTGTGAACTTGTAATGACAACACTTGAAGATATATTCTCCCAATCCTCAAATGGAGCCAGGGCTGTAAAAGCAACAGAAGTAGCAGTAGTTGTGGTGACAGAAGAAGTAGAGGCAGTAGTTGTAGCAGCAACAGGAATGGAAATGTTAGAAGTATAGGTAGAGGAAGAAGTTGAGTCTGAACTTTTATTATTTATTAATGTTAAGCTTTTTTCATAGTTTAAAATATCATGAATAAAAGCACTTGCTATTTCTTGTAATTTTATTAAACCATCTACAATATATTGAAATTTAGACATTATTACTTCGAAAATAAGTGTAAAAACTAACTGTAATTGTTCAACGAATAATTGTTACAAACCTGGGTTTTTTAATCTAAGAGAAAGAATGTGAGAAGTATCTTATAAGAAATGAGGGGATAATCCTAATTCAGATTTTTACAGGAGATGAACCATAACGATAATGATAACAATAACTATAATTAGTAATGTTCATGGCATCTCAATTAATATTTAATGTTAATGTTAACGTTGGGTGATTGATCAACTTGTGTTCGTAATTCTGGTAAGTCAAAGCCCTGGTAAACATAATTTGTAACTAGTAAATATCACGTGAAAGTTCATTGTTTAAATTTGTCCCTTGTTATTTTAAAGTCAAATTTTGACGCTAAAATTTAAGCCTATAAAATTTATTTTATTTTGAACTTTTATACTAACAAGATATTAAAGAATATAGAAATTGTGCTCAAATTTTCTATTGCTTATAATCCAATTGAGTATAATTGATTGAGTGTATTATTTTCTAAATGACTAGGTAACTGTAAATCAATCTCGATATTATTCTTATTTAGCTTTCCATTCTGATATTTACATAATTGACTGAGGTAATTGATTTCTTCATTCTGTTTTTTCATATGTGAAACAACTATATATTTAGTGAATAATTTTTATTAGTGGTTCTAGCATTTTTTTTAAGAACCAAAATAAGATTCATTTTTCATACAATATTATAGCTCTAAGACTCAATTTTCATACAATCTTATATTTGCTAAAAATGCCTAATCTGACTCAAATATTAATTTTAATTATTTAAATAACGATAGCAAATTATCTTCGAAGATTATACATGTGTTGTTTTGATTAGTTAATTTTTATCTTTACATCTGTGTTAAGTTTATCCGAGAAGTTATTGTTTCTTGATTTGGTAATTTCATATCAATATAATTACGTATTAATTATTACTGCGGATAACTTTCAGTGCTTTCATTTGTGTAATGGCACAATTATATAAAAAAATCACCCTAATCGTAATTGTTTAACGTTAACGTTATCGTTATAAAGATTCTATTTTAGGACATGAACACATTGTTTATTTTGTTTTTTGAATAAAAACCTCTTGATAGAATGATTATCTTCCTGGTGACCTCTTAGCTGCATAAATTGATGACACTATTTAAAAATATCAACAACATCGGTCTTGGTTTTTTAGTTTGAAACATGGACCATCATTATGCTACTCTAATTTAATTTTGTAGAAAATGTAATCGCTGGGGTACACATTTTGAATCACAATGCCGTGGTAAGTAATTTAATCATTCAAAATATAATTACATATAAATCTTTTAGTAGAAGATCCTGCGAGAATTAGTAAATGATTTGTCATGGAAACGAATCTTTTATGATAATCATTTTACAAATAATATTTTTATCTGATAATCCTTTGTACATAGCCTAATAACTGTATATATTTTATCTAAATAATATTAATTTTTTTTAAATTAGATAATGAAATTAGCTATGCCACCAGGAGTTTGATTCTTGATAATCAAATCAGACCAAAAACTTTGTTTAGATGGGTCATTCAAGCTGGTTGGATGGTGGCCTATTAGCTAGTTTGGTGCAAATTGAAAGATTTTTTCTATATTTGTATATAGATTTAAAGTTGCTATTGAATAAATGATTCTTATACATGCAACAATTTAAGGTTTTTTTGTGACAAAAGAAAGGATAGAATTTATTTAACACTGAAACAGATTAAAATTATTATTATTCGATTCTATATTTCAGTCTGAATAGAAAAAAGTCTAAAGCTTTCTTAACTGTTCGATAAACCAAAAACATTATAGATTTTAATTTAATTTATTCGAATCCGTCTACCTTGGATATATTTTTTTATGAACTATGCTTGCACAATCGTAATAATTAATCAACTATTAGGTAAGAACTTAACAAAGATAACAGCTAAAAAAGGAACATTTGAATCCCACGTTCATGAAATTAGAGAAGAAATAAAAAAAATTCATCTTTAGTTTTTGAATTTATACAAATAAATTTATCTCTTTAATGTATTAATTATAAAATTGGGAAAATATTTTGATATCTAATGACAGTATTAATTAAGAAAGAAGGAATCTAGTCTAGTAACTTAATATTTTTTTTTCTAAAAATTTGTAAATAATTTTTTTTTCGAAATTAAAATTGTGCATTTTAATAAAAATACGAAAAAGTAATTTAAAAAAGAAACTCTGTGTTGTGGATGTAAATAATGCTGATTTGTTACAATTATACTATGTAAAGTTTAATGTTCCAATTCTTTGCACACTATTGCAAAAGCTTTGTTCGTGATTGATTTTTTCATAAACGAGCTTCAAATAAGGAAATCCTAAAAATATGAAATTTATATTATCTTCGCCGCGGTTATTCATTTGCCTTATTTTAATTTTTGTTTCCATAAGAATTTTTGGAGGTTTGCATTATAATCTAACGAAATAATATGATTTAACGTCTTTGCACTAATTGGTCCAATTAAGCTTTACAAACCATGTAGTTTTTAACAGATTATTAGGGATGCAAGTAAATGAAAATTAAATAATAAATCATCAAGAGTTTATTTGGCCTCTTCTTTAACCGGCATTAAAATTGTCGCACGCGTATTTGTGGTTGACTATTTACGTAAACGGAATTCTGATTGTAATAATTAACCATCAATCTTTTCTGATTGAAATCGCATAAATTTTATTTTGTTTGAGTGATACTCGAAATTCAAAACATAGGGATAATTGAAATTGACTAAGAATTATTTCTTTTGAATTATACAATTTCTATTAAATGCTATATAAAAGCCACCTCTCTAATTTAAAGCTTAATTCTAGTTCCAAGACTACTAAAGTCTAAAACCGTAGCTACTTCTATTTTTTCTTAGAGATAATCTTATGTGTCGATTCACGTGACCTTATCTCTGCCTTAACGTTGGCAAAGATAAGGTCTCGTGATCAACATTTCTGTATAATGCCAGCCAAACAACTGTGATATTCATAAACTAATAGTGGTTTTCTTTTTGAAAAACTAGTAGTTTATAGTTTGCAACCTTATCTAAATGAACTTACATTAGATCATATAAATTCCCTCGAGTGTTAATCTAAAAATTTTTTCAAAGTTGAATAAAAAATAAAATGTATAATTCGTTATTACATTGATAACACTATTAATTCAATTGTTAAATATATAACTCAATTCTTTGCAATAATAATTTTTTTTTTTATAAGTAAAAAGCCATGACCTTACCAATTATATTTTTTTTAGTATTTTTTACGAAAATGGATAATTAATAAACATTGCGATACTGACCAATCATATTTTTTTGGCATTTATTACAAAAATGGATAATTGATAAACATCGTGATACTGACTAATCATATTTTTTTTGTGAAATTTATGTGAAAACAAAATCGCGTTATTAATAGATCATATTTCACAAAATAAATTATATTTCCGAATAAGAATTTCAAACTTCTTCATAGTTGCAGTAGCAGTACAGAGACCTTAACAATTAGGATTGCGGTTACAGTAGTAATGTAAGGAGGCTCTGGGGTGTCTTTTAAGTCGTGCACTGTAAGCAGAACGAGTAAGTAGCATTTTTATACACATATATATATAGTATTGGTTAATTTGATATCCGACTTAATCACAAGTATTTGACTATCAAATTTCTGTTTGATTGTACCGAGCACTAGTCTCTTTTAACAAGAAATATAAACTATAGAAGATTATCTTGAATAATAATGGAATTAATTAGGTAATTCAATGTAATATTTTCTATTATTTGTCAAAAACAATAGTGAATTAAATTATCTTTTTTTATTGTCAAATGCCAAAACCATGTTTCAGCAAATTCTGCAATGTATTGATTTTTTAAAAGAATTAAGTTTAAAACAATTTAAAATTTTAACTAAATTTTAAGCTTTCAAATATTAAATTATCTAAATTAGTGAATTAATTTCAATTTACACTTTTTTTTTTTTGACATTGTTTAGCCAATTCTGTATGTAATTATTTTTTAAAGAGATCACTTTGTCCGGCATAAAATATAATTGAAAGCCCGATAATTACTTGTGCAATTATAAACTCTCCCAATAAACAACTTACATTTACAAATGAATTGTCCTTACTATAAAACCGCCGATACAGACTAGAAAGTATGCATTAATTTTATTAAAATTGATATTAGCTTAGGTTGTAATAACTTACCTGACAATGTAATTTACATTGTAAGTTACATCATAAATTACATTATAAGACCTTATATATCATAGTAAAGCAGGCTGGCTTTAGTATTAATGCCAGGCAGAATAAATTTAGCCAGCATTAAGGTTGTTAAAGGATGAATTTTTATTATTATTATACTGTATATAACTTACCTTATATGGTAACTTACATATTTTGAATTTCATTAATAGATGAAAAATTTTTTTGTTTTCTCTTATAATTCAAGATTAATTATTTTTTTGATAAAACGTTATTTTGTATATAATATTTAAAATCTGTATCTAAGGTAAAAAGGGGTAATTTGGTGAATAGGGGTAATTTGGCGAATTGTAAAAAAATGTAAATATATCGTGATCCTATGATCGGATCCGAACAATTTCTATACCATTCGAATCCTCTCATTGAGAGGATTCGAATAGTAAAAAAATTGTTCAAATCCAATCATGGAGTCACGATATATTTTCATTTATTTCCAATTCGCCATATTACCCCTAC